TAGACCCCACCCTCAACGCACACACAAACACACACACACACACGCACAAAAACACACACACGCACACACACAAACACACACACACACAAACAAAAAACAACAACAAGACGAACACAAAACAAGACAACACGAAACAAAAAGCAAAACGAAACAACAAACAAATCTAAAAACAAAACAACAATCAGCTGGATGGTCCGACTGCCCTCAGTCTGGTCTGCACCGGCCTTAAGATCGAGCGGTGCGGCCTGCTAAGAGGGCTATAAATCGCCCTGGCTCGTCAAACTGCTCGGTAAACAGATCTGGTCTTTTGTGGGGACGTTCCTGAGGTCATCTGCTGGTGGTCTCCTTTGTTTTCCTGTAGTGGAGGGTCAGGTCAAGTCAGAAATCACTCGTAAGTACAAACATTACATGTCCCCGTCGTCTTATGCAAGAAAAATTCTGAAATTATTCAAACTGAGCCCCCAAAAATGTGAAATTATGCGATTCTGTTAATTTCAACAAATAATGATAAAGGAAAATAATAAGAAATTATGCAAAAAATGATCAAATTTTGCTAAATTATGTGGGGTGCATAAAACCAGGGGGGCAGCATTACTATGATTATTCTATTATGTTATTTTTTAGTATCGTCGTACTAAGTCTTGCTCTGTGGGTGGGTGGCGGGTGCTCTGGTGTGATTTGCTTCTTCTTTCTTATCAAACGTCTATCGTCTTTATCTTCCCTCCTTCTTTTTTATGTTTGTTATTCTATTGTAACCCTTCTAATCTAAGGCATTTATATGACCTTATTGTGTTACAAGTGCCGTAAAACAATTACTAAAACAAAACATAAGTCTTGCTCTAACGGCCACCTAAAAGACAATCACGTGTACAGACATGTACAAACGGCGTCTTTCTTTTTCTCCCCTTGCAGACTTATTTTTTCCACAATGTTAAAGATATCCACTTGTCTAAGACGGTCACTATTCTCCTCGTCAACGAATGGTTGTACTACTACATTAGACAGTTCTGACTGTATTTAGTATTTAGTATACCCTTTGATGACTTATGTTTAAAACTCTCGTGTCAATTTTGCGTCTGCATTTCGACAATGATTGAGGAAGAGAGTACGTGCAGTGTTTTATCTCTACGACACTACCTACTACATGCACCCGAGCCACTCAAACACCACCCCTCCTAAAAAACCCTCTCGAGGTCTAGAGGCCCGGTGTTCGCTTCTCGTTCAATAGGTTCCGTGTTCGAAACTTTGCAGCGACGGAACATTTTCATCTCTTTAAAAAAATCTTTTCTGCTCTCTGTTTTTCTGTGTTCTGCTTTCGTCCCCATGTTAACGATCAATGTGTAATCCTAAAATCGATAAGGGAAGGCTTCGACTGCCACCCGGGCAAAATTCAAAAACAGTACTTACCAAAAATGAAAATGAATGCTTAATGTGTCCCACGCGCTCATACGACGTATGCAGTTACGAGCGCCGTAAAACACTATCACCACCACCCCCCCCCTCAACATTTTGACCACTTATCGCCGAAAGAAAATAATAATAGTGATAATGATAATAATGATAACTATAGTAATAAT